GCTGAAACCCTGGGCAATATGATATCGGAGCCACTGCCACGGCGCACTTCAGGAGCATGTTCTTCGTCAGGCGGTGCGCCTCCCACCAATCATTCTCTGTGCGATAGGAGGCGGTGAGGAACCGAAGGTACTGCTCACGCCCCTCCTCGCCGGTGCGGCGGAGGAGCCAGCGCCAGAGCGCGTGCCCGGCGGCGAACGCAAGAGCCAGGACGGGCACCCGCACGGCCATGTACGACATGCGCTCCGTGCAGCTCTCATGCGTGGAATATACCATCATTGAATTATCCGACGCGTCATCGCTCTGCGTGCGATAGCACGGAGCGGCGATCGCGCATGCCGCGGCGATGCTCGGGATGCACTGGATGCCCGAGATCACCACAAGAGTCATCAGGTCCTCGGCGAAGACGGAATTCAGGCCCTGCATGCGGCAAAGGATACGGAGGAAGACCAGCACCAAGGAGGCGGCAGCCACAATGATTGCAGGATTCGCCAGCGACAGCACAAGAATCTCCCTGAGGGAGAGAGTCCACCCCAGAAGGCGCTCCAAACTCGAAGACAAGGTCGCCTCGCCCGCTTGAGAAGCAAAAGAGGAAGATCCGAACCACTTCTGCGCCTCATTAACCAATTTGCGATACGTCGCCGAGGTGCCGAGCGACGAGATGATCACGGCTGAGTCCGAGCTGAAGGAAAGCGCAATCTTCAGCACATCGTTGGAGAAAGCGGCAGCGTCACCCAGCGCGGCTGCGTTCTTCGCGCTCCGCATCGAGATCGCCAGCAGCGTGAAAGGGTGGGCCAGCCAGACAGCCCACTGCGCCCATGCGATACCGCACTTCTGACATATGAATGCGTCTGGTGGTGACCGGCCCCAGCCCTCCAAGCAACCAGCGACGTTGCCGTCGTACCCCTCGCTGCAAGGGGTGCCCGCCTCGCTGCTGCGCGCAAGGGGGCATGTGGCGTTGGTGGTCGCTGCTGACGACACATTGCTGCTGCTCGCGTAGGTGGCATTGACGTGTTCGTCTGGGCAGGCGCCGATGTCGGGGCACCTGTGAGGTTGCAACTCGTGGCCAGACGGCACAGCGTTCCTGGCCGACTCTACCATGCAGCCACTCGGTGTTGTGACACTCCACGACTTGACTAGCAAGATCCAGCTCACTTGCGCCTCCAGTAGGGCCATGCATCTGCCCTCTATCATGGCACCAAACGAACTGAATGTAGCCTCGACCTGGCTGCGGACGGCCGCATCCTTGTCTTTCAGCAGGTCCTTCAGCTCGCCCCCAGCCTGGAGTACCGCCTCGGGCCCCCCCGCCCCGATTAGCCTGTGCGGCACATATGCGAATCCGCGCGTCCTCGTCCTGCAGCCGCGCCTTCATCTCGCCCGCGGCCTGGAGCACCGCCTCGGGGCCGCCCTTCCCGATGGCCTTTGCGACCCACTCGCGGACATTCACGCCCTTGTCTTGCAGCCCAGACTTCGGCTCGCTCCCGGCCTGGAGCGACGCATCGGGGCCGCCGTGCCCGATGGCCTCTGCGGCAAGCTTGCGGACCCCCGCGCCATCGTCCTGCAGCAGCGCCTTCAGCTCGCCCGCAGCCTGGAGTACCGCCTCGGGGCCGCCCTTCCCGATGGCCTCTGCTGCCCACTCGCGGACCCCCGCGCCATCGTCCCGCAGCAGCGCCTTCAGCTCGCCCACGGCCTGGAGCGCCGTCTCGGGGCCGCCCTTCCCGACGGCCTTTGCGGCTGACGTGCGGACATTCGCGTCCTCGTCCTGCAGCCGAGATTTCAGCTCGCCCACGGCCTGGAGCACCGCCTCGGGGCCGCCCGCCCCGATGACCTTTGCAGAAAACCTGCGGGACCCCCAAATGATGCGCGCCCGCAGCCCAGCCTTCAGCTGGCTCACTGTCGACTGCCACAGCGCGGCCTTGGAGCCGCCCTCCCCCATGGCCTGCGCGGCCCGAAAGCGGGCCGTCGCCTCCGCGTCCTGCAGCAGAGCCTCCGGCCTGGCCACGGCCTGGGGCGGAGGCTCTGGGCCGGCGTCCCGGATAGGCCGCGCGGCCTCTTTGCTAGCACCAGCCGCCTGCTCTGTTTCCACGGCCCTCCGCTCGGTCACGTCGCGCCAGTGCCGAGCAGCTGCACAGGCAGAGGTGCCGCCTGTGCGTCCCGCGCCCTGCACGACGCGATGGATCGCCACGTCCTCTGTCAGCGGCAAGAATCCGTCGCGGCTGTGGGCCAGGGGCGGAAACCCCTCCCTCTGTGCGTCTCGCTGGATCGCGACGCCCTCTGCCAGCGGCAAGAATCCGTTGTGCCTCTGTGAAGGGGCCCCATTGCCACCACGTACACCACCCCGCTTGAACAGCATCTTCGATGGGAGCCAACGTGGACCGTTCAGCTACGGACGCCAGCCATCTAGCCGAAACCAGCACAAGGAGGCGCGCGCCTCTCATGGAAAACTCGACTGTTCCGCGGCAGTGGCAGAGTTGCGCCAGCGTCGCTTCAGCCAGAACGGCTACTGGTGTTCCCCCTTTTCCCCCTCGTCATAGTTAATCCTCCTCGTGCATGCGCGGCCCGGACCCCTCGGCCCACCCATTGCGGCATACCCGTCGCACGCTTCGTGGCCTCATAGGGCCCCAGACCTATCGACCTAGGGCCAGCACTCCATCATGAACATGTTCAATTGACAGCCCAGGTCCCCGAAACAGGCCCTCCAAGGGTTCCAGATGACAACGAACTGGCCGCCTCTACTTTTGCCGATGCGCCGGATGTCTGCGAGGTCGCTTTCGACAGCGCGTTACTCCGACGCACCTGAAGTCGTTTCGGCGACGGCGACGGTGAGCCGGTACCTCCGTTTTTGATTTTTCGCGGCGTTGGACTCACCCAGGGGACCGACACTCATCATCATCACCCACTCACGCACCCACCCTCACCCACCTGCCCGCCCACTCACCCACTCACATTTTCATCATCACCATCACCATCACCATCATCACCATCATCATCATCATCATCATCATCATCATCATCATCATTGTTATCAACATCATTATCATCATCATTACCATCTTCACTCACTCACTCACTCACTCATTCACAGGCTCACTCACTCAACTCAGACGGGAGCCTCGTCTGTGAGTGAGCTGAACAGGAAGTCTCAGGCGAACGCCCCTTCCGTATGGGGCCCGCAACTCATGTTTGTAATCCGAGCGGGTCATCGGAAACCTGTAGCTGTCGTCACTTTTGGGATTCTCAGGCCTGAACTTGGAGGGCGCCCCCCCCCCGTCTGTGAGTGAATTGCGAAGAAGTCTCAGGCGGGAGCCCCCTCCTCATGGGCCCGCAGATCACGTTACCAATCCGGGCGGGTCATCGGCCTCCTGCATCTGTCGTCATTTTGGGGCTCCCCAGGCCTGAATTTGGAGGACGTCTCAGGCGGGAGCCTCGTCTGTGAGTGAATTTCGAGGAAGTCTCAGGCGGGGGCCCCCTCCCTATGGGCCCCGCAATTCACGTTGGTAATCCGAACGGATCATCGACCTCCTGCAACTGTCGTTATTATTGGGCTCCTCAGGCTTGAATTTGGAAGAAGTCTTAGGCGGGAGCTTCGTCTGTCAGTGAATTGCGAGGAAGTCTCAGGCGGGGGGGCCCACCCCATGGGGCCCGCACCTCACGTGCATTCTCCGGGTCGTCTTCCGGCGCGCGCTTCCTCTGGGTCGTCCTCCGGCACGTAGCCGCTGGGACGCACGTCGTGCGATTCTTCTAAGTCATGTTCCGCACGAGGGCTTGGGCTCGCGCGACTGGTGGGGCATCGAGGATGCGATCGTCCTCCGCCGGGCCCCAACAGGCGACCCCGCGCGGCATGGCCCCCCATTGTAGGGCGAGGTGGTCTCATGCTCATCAGTTTCTACGTGTGGGTCTCGGAGGGCCTGGCCATCAAGATCCTCGGCCTCCTCGACAGGACGGGGGGGGCCACGGCCCGCCGCGGCGCCCCGCGGGCACTCCGAGGGGGGCTGCAACCTGCCGCCGAAGGACCCGGCCAGCAGCAACTGGACCGAGGACTTCGGCGGCGCGCTCTTGGCCACGGGGCCGCCCGCCTTCCAGCGCGCCGCTGGGCAGCGCGAGCTGGGCTACTTCGTCGCGGGCCAGCACGTCGCCGCTGCCTTCGCGCCGCCGCAGCGCTGCGCCGAGATCAGCGCGCCCCCGCGCGCAGCCCTGGTCCCCAGGCAGGAGGCCTCCATCGGGGAAGCCGCGCTGCCGGCCCTGAAGAAGTTCAAGCCGCTTCCTGTCAAACCGCCAGTTGATGAAGCCATACCGCCTAACACCGCCAAGGTGCCCTGGCCGACGCTCGACCCGAGTCGCCGCCTACGCTCGGCGGACCTCGACAGGATCTGGGCTGAGGCGAACGCCGGCCTCGAGGTCGAGCTCTGCCATCTGCGCCAGATCCCCCACGACAAGCAGCATCAGTGCCAGGGGAGAAGTGGCCCTCCAATCTTCGTCGCCGTTCCAGCTGCAAGACCGGAAGCGCATGCCAGACCGTGAGGGGGCCCTGCCCCTCGGGCCTGGAGATGGCACGCAAAGCGTCTCGGGGATGGTTCTGCTGCACAGGAGTGCCAGCGAGAAGGGGGGGGGCCATGCCGCCCTGGGCCCTCATCTTCGAGGGCTCGTCCCGCAAGCAGAGAATGGGCACCCCCAACTCCATCATTTTTCGGCGCGTGCGCAGTCTCGCCATGACACGCAACGTCGCAGAGGATATGGAGCTGCTCGTGGAGATCAGGGCCATCTACCTCTTCGCCCTGGGGGGGGGGGGGCCCGCGCCGTCGAGCAGAGGGTCGGTTCGGAGAGGGCCAAGGACTGGAGGCAGAGGCTCGAGCTCTCCTCCACAGGCTGCGCGGACTTCATCCACGGGATCAGCGCGCGGGCCAAGGCGCCGCCCACCCCGCGCGCTGATACCTCGCAGATCCAGCAGGGCACCAACGACCTCGACGTCGCCAGCCCGCAGACCAGGGCGGAGCAGCGCGCGGCCCCCTGGCATCGGCTCTGGATTTCGCATGCTGACATCAGCCGCGGAGAGCGAGACAGACCTTGGGGGGATCCTGCTTACCCAACCCCTATGGTGGAGGTTACTCCGAGCCTGCTGCGCCGTGTTTGTATGATTGTTCCGAGCCTCCACTGGGGTTGGGGCCGATCAGATTTATCCCAGATGGTTGCTTCAACTGTCCGGCGAGGGCACCCAGTTTTTCTGCGACCTTCTCATGTGCATCAGTCAGCATATTCATTGGCCGTCCAGTGCCGCGCACATCATGCGTTTCCTACTGGGCAAGGCGGCTACCTCGAGCCAACCCATTGGGCCCATGACCACCACCATGAGGGTCACCGAGAGAGCGCGCGCCGACATCTACATCCAGTGGGAAGCCAAGGTAGCCAGGGACTACGACTGAGCGGCCAAAGGATGAGGAGCTGAGAACGCAATGTAGACCCAAGCCCTCGTCGAGGATGGCCTCCCGCAGGACTCTGTCTCCGTCAATGCCGTTTCGGGCGCGGAGACGACCTCCGAGCGCATCGGCGACCGCCTCCCCTGGGATCCCTGCGCCGAGCTCGACTGTCCCAGGCAGATGATGCACCTCGTGCATCTCAATGTGCACTGGCACGCGATAGATCACATTTCGCAAGTACGCCTCGCAATTTTGCACGGTTACCTTCTCAGCAGCCAGTGCAGGGTCATGTGGAGGCGCCGAGGCCCACGAGATGGCCATCGTCCCCATATGTGACAACTTTCGGAAACAATGGCAAGCGGTGCGACAAGTTCTGCGCGTGGACGACCACCAGGTGCAGAGGGGCGGCTCCCGACAAGAAACGCTGGAGGAGAGCTATGCCAGTGCTCAGTTCTACATCGCCCAGGTCGAAGACGCCCCAGAGATTCCCATCTCCCGCGCGCGCGGGGACAAGAAAGGCAAGAGCTACCTCGTCGCGGCCGACAAGGAGCTCCGCGACTGCTGCTAGGCCATGGCCAAGAAGTTCGGGTACCAGGTCAAGTCCACTGGCCAGCAGCTCGGGGTCGATGCGGCGGGGAGGGGCCCCAGCCAAGCGGGGCACGGCAAACTCCAGAGTCAGCAAGGCCTGGAAGAGGACGGGCAAGCTCCTGCGCCTCGAGGCCGGCGGCGCCATCACGAGGGCAGTCGTCAAGAACTGCCTCTTGCCCAGCACGTTCCATGCCTCCGCCAACTTCGGGACGCGGGCGGCCATCCTCCACGCCCGCGCCCTCCTGTCGAGCGGCCTCGGCGGGGGGCCCTGGGGAAGGACAGGGCGCTGCGCCCCTGGCTCCACGAGGCAGACCCCCATCGTCCATGCCGCCCTCGGCCCGCCAGGCAAGGAGGGTCATCGCCGTCTGGGACCAGACCATCGCCCGCGACGCGCCCAGGGCGGGCAGGCCAGGGCGGTCGCCCTGGCGGCCGCGAGATAAGCCAGGCAGGGCGATTTCAACTGAAATGCTGTCAAAGGCCCTGCCACTGCCCTGTGCGGATCATTGGACCGTCCAGGGTGGGCGCGGCCAGCGCCGCACAACTTTCGACGCATCGCACAGACTTGCTGAACCTCAGGACCACCCCGCCCTCCACCGTCAAGGCCCTGGCATCCTCTCGTTTGGAGCAGGTAGCCGTGGAGGAGGGGCAGAACAGCAGATGCTTCCTGGGGTCCAGAAGCCACCTTTGGAACCGGTCAGAGCCCTCTTTAGACAGAGGGCCCAGCGACACGGTCCCAGGAGGAGGGGGGCCATCGAGAGCGAGATATATTTGCGCTACAGTTTGCACGCAAGATGTCCGCTGAAAAAGAGGAAGGACGGACGTCAGAGAACGCCGGACCTGCGAGCAAACTATAGACTTGCAACAACACCGCCTCTGCCGCTGCGCCGCCCTCGACCAGCATAGGCGAGAGACTGCCGACATCAATGCTGGTATCATTCATCGAGCACAGACGGCTACAGAAGGCGCCCCCTTTTTGCCCGATGCATTGTTCATCACCTCATTTCAGACCCTTCTCTTGATGTGCAAGTGAAGGGAGTCTTCACGCGCAAGGGGGAGTCAGGCCTGTACAGTGGCGTCGCCTTTTTCCGACGTCTCAGGAGTTGGGCATCCAGGGCACAAGACTTTTCGGAGGACTCGTTCGAAGTCGTTTTCTCGCAGTGTGGGTGCCCAGCGGGGGTCAGGTCCACGCTGTCCCTTCTCAGGTGAGAACTGACTGGGCTTGCCCAGCTTCTGCAGTATGCCAGGCCGCTTCCCACGATCGCCATAGACAGTGGTGACATCTGGAATCAGTTTTGGCAGGACTAGATGATATGCTTCCAGGCCAACAGGGCCTCCAGGTAGTCAAGGTCAAAGCACGCTCTACTCAGGGGATCAACTCAGATGACCCCAGAATTCGAAGCGTTTTCCCGAAGCAGCACTGAGGCTGACGAAGCGGCCAAGCAAAGTGCTGCTCTTGTTCCGAGGCAAATCGGAATTTCAGAGGTGTACCAGCAGAGGTAC